TTATGTTCCTAAATTAATATCGTTTATGACCTTCAGATGCGTTATGCTCCTCTTCTTTTTATGCTCAGCTACTAAAATTTAGTGGTAAAATTCCATATAAATATTCAAAACTAAGTGGATTAAAATGTGCACAGTAAAGACATTAAATGATTAAATCTTTTCACTACCAACCAATGCACCACGAGTGCCCCAGTCGGTTATTTTGGCCAGCCAATCACTTACCGCGGTGCCCTACGGTGCCCCACAGGGGCTTGTGGGTAGATTACCGTACCGCGGGTTTGTACCGCGCATTTTGAATGGCTGCATCTGTACATGTCAAAAGCTCACTCCCCATAATTTCTATCCCTTTATTTAATTCTGTTGATGCATATTTTTGCACATAACCTGTTACACTTCAGTCCCATTGATGACACTGGTAAGAGCAGAAAAACACTTGATACCCTCATTGTATAGAATAAAATAATTTACTGCTTGGCAATTTGTGAAAGCAATAGAAAAGATACACAGAATGTTAGGTTATATACAATAGTTAAAAATGAAATTTACTGAAGAACATTTTGTTAAAAATGTATAACACACCAGGGAAGCCTCATTTATAATTGTGAACAGTGTTGTTTAGACATTGGTTACTGTGTACAATGTTTTGCTGACAAAGAGATTACTGCTCTGCAATTAGTCAAGAGAAGAGTAACCAGATACAGCCTTGGGCTCACAGGAATGTCTAACACTGAGGGTTAAAAGAACTGAGCCTGTCCGGTCTTATAAGAGTGACCGAGGGAGTCTGATTCAAGATCATAGAGTCCTAAAGACAGTGATGCAGTCAACCCCGTGAGCTGAATCAACAGGGATACACAGGGCGATAAGTGAAAACAGCAGGGAGGTGCATTTCAAACTGAGGACAGAAGGTCCTTCTTTACACAAAGGGTTGTTGGAGTGTGGAACAAGCAACACCACTATGTGGGTATACTGATGCCCTGGTAGCTTTCAAGAAAAACAGTGGCTGAGACCCTTGGATCAATTAACTACTAACTACCAAACAGGTCAGAAAGGCTCAGTGATATCCTTTCACTAGGAATGACCACGCCTAAGATCAAAAGGTAATGAACTATTATGGAGCTGATATTTGGCTTAACCCGCTTGGCTGAGGGCCAACCTCCTGGCCTCAGGACAAGGAGGCCAGGACCCCCAAACAGGGTAACCAAGGGGTAGCTGAAGAGGTGGAGATGGGGTAGAGGTGGGATGCAAAAGTCGCAGGCAAAGGAGAGAGATATCGACTTTGGTATTTATAGTGTTTGGTGGAGGAAGGATGAAGGGAGTGATTGCTAATCACTGACGGCTGGGAATGATTGAGCGCGGTTGTTGTCATGCGTCCCGAACTTTCGTTATATAAACTCCATTTCACTAGGAATGACAACACCCAAGATCAAAGCGTAATGGACTATTATGGAGCTGATATTTGGCTTAACCCGCTTGGCTGGGGGCCAACCTCCTGGCCGTAGGACAAGGAGGCCAGGACCCCCAAAAAGAACCAAGTGGGACCCCAAACCACCAATGCAGAATTTGGAAGAGCCTGAAGAAGGTGAGAAGGTGTGGTCTGTGAGGCATGGATTGTTGCAGCAGTAGGGCAGTCAGAGTGCTTGTGTGCGTCCTGTATAAGTTAACTGTAGGGAAGTCGGCTTCTGTTGGCCTTGGCGAGTCGCTTATTATAGGTACGCATTGAGGTGTTGACAGAAGGGAATTCAAACAAACACAGGATCTAAATGATGAGAAACCATATGGGCTTTTTGTAGATGGGAAAGAAATCGCTGCTATTATTGGATTAGGTTAGTGGTGGTGATGTTATCTGAATTGATACAGGCCCTTGTTTGCGATTGTGTCCCCCAAAAGTAGCAATGGAAATTGGAGACTCCAAATTGATTGCACTTGATTCGCATGGTGATCAGGAGAAGAGATGGAGGTAAACAGTAGCGACTTGGCCTTTTATAGCTGTTAACTTTGATGAGGTTTCCTGGACAGACGGAGTGGCTGGCTCGAAGGAAATGCGGAGGCATGTAAACCTTTTGGCAAGTAACCCCTTTGCTATCTGACGATAAATTAAGTGTAAGGAGCTAAGTGCTGGGACTCTTATGGACTCTGGAACTGGAGCATTGGTGGCCTTATGACAGATCTATGTGGGCACTGTGGAGAGGAAAACAAAACTCTTGTTGGGAGAAAATAAACCTCTGGGGGTCCCGGCCCAATGGATGCCCCCCCTCCCGGAAGCTAGGCATTTTTGGATAGTTCCAGACTCCGGCTATAGTACTGTAGCTCGTGGAATTTAGCCAGAGGTAGTAAGCTGGGCGAACCCGGGGCCGAGAGGCGGCAGTGGCAGCCGTGGAGGATGAGAGAAAGATAAATGGGCCTGGGGCCGGATCGGACGCCTGGGATAAAAATCCGAATAAGACAGGGGAATGACACGAGGGACTTACCTGTATGGATGTCGAGAGGGGTGGCTTTGGTAGCAACGGAGGACGGGAGGGAGCTAATGGGGAAGAGGGATAAAGAGGCGACGAGACAGGTACACAAGGCATAAGGCGATTGCTGACAAGAGTAATGAACTTGGAGCCCGAACTGCAAACCGGGGATGGGGAAGCGAACGAGGCAGGGGCAGATTGGACATGGGGGTAAAGGACATAGATGAAATGGGAACATGAGATGAAGGACTTACCTGTCGATGAGGTGGTACCGGTAGCAGAAAGGGCGAGGAAAAAAAAAGCACAAAGTCGAGACGGACGCACAAGACATAGGACCTACCTGTATTAACATTAAAGATGTGGTGCTAGTAGTGGCAGAGCTGAATAGGACAGGGATAGAAACAGAAACGAGATGGGAACGCAAGACATGTGACGGCTACTGACTGAGCCAGAGGTAGCAGCAGAGACAAGAGAATAGATCCGGGGATAAATTGAAAGCCAGGGACAGGGACAATGAGACACAGGTTTTGAAATTGCAAGGTTTCAGGATTAAAACCTAACTCCTTGAGCAGTTCTGTCTGAGCCTGGGAGAAATGCAGTTGCGCAGCAGCCTGGAATGTATTTTTTTATTTTTATAAACGGAACACCAGAGGATCAAGACACGACGACGAGGACATGAGACATAAGCGCTGAATTGGACAGAAACACGAATAAGACAGGGACGCAAGATGCGGGAATGTTTACATATGAGGCAGGGGCTGCTTGGAGAATTCGCAGTGGAGGAAGGAGAGCTGGATTTGTGGTGAGGTGGGGGCGATAATTGCAGAATGTGAGCTTCAGCGAGGAATTGAATCTTGAGAGAGATGGCCGGAGATGAGCCCTGCTGGTAGGAAGGCAAGGGATGGAGGCGACAAGGCGCTGGAATGAAAAGCTGGAAGAACTGGCTGGTCGAGGAGTGTAGGGGAATCCTCTGCGCTGCAAAGGTTCTTCATTGGAGCAGAAAATGTACAGGTCCAAAGTCAATCGAAATGCAAGAGAAAATAGCACGGGCTTGTGAAATGTGAGAGACGCACCCAAACATGCAGAAGTCGCATGCGAGGGAGAGATATTGCGTTGCTATTTATAGCGTTTGGTGGACGAAGGATGAAGGGAGTGATTGCTAATTACTGACAGCTGGGAACGATTGAGTGTGGTTGTTGCCATCTCTCCCGAACTTTCATTATATACTGTAAACTCCATTTAATGAGTGAAGTTTAGCTATCTGTACCTAGAATATTACTTTAACCTGCTGCCTTTCAAATTTTAACATTCTGGCTGTGCTGCCTTCATGTTGATTTTACAAGATACATGATTTAAAGTGGACCATAGAAGGATTTAGTAAGTAAATTAATTGAATTTTTTATCTGAACACGTGAAGGACCAGAGAAGTAAGAGATGAGAAGATTCCAGGTGAAAGATATTACTAAAGGTGTAGCAATATACTCTGATTTATACCTTATACGTACAACATCAGAATCTACATGATCAATATGTGACTTCAGCTGAGCAGCTCTGACTCGACAGTAGAAAAGTGACTCCAGTCTTGAAATTAGCAGAAACTCCCTGGAGTTCAGGCTCATGTTCACACACTGGGACTGTGTGCTGCCCCCTGCAGGCTCTTTCCTTCAGACCATGAAGAGGGAAAGGGGCTGTGAGGGCAGGAGGTGAAGTGGGAGAACAACGCTAATACCTGCACAGCCACTCCTGAACATCAGAGACACTAGAACACTGAACAAGAGTGTCTATGGACACAAATGGTCACTGTACTTAAGCCTGTTGTCCAGTTGGGGAGAAGGAAAGTTCATAGAAGGACAGTTTTAGAATCCAAACCAGAATTCACAGCCTTGAGACAGGCAGTTCAACAGAGACAGATTTATGAATCCCGCAGAAGGGATTGTAGGATTAATAGAGACAGAATCCAGTGTCTCACCAGGAATTCCTAAAATTCAAAAACAGAAACAACCGGTTATGCACTCCTTATTGTGTCAAAAAGCTATTAGTTTTACAAAAGGCTAATCATTCCAGTTTCTATATTCTGTTTTCCACTGAAAGTCATCACATCTCCAGATCCCAGGAAAGCACATCCTGTTCTCTACCTCATTGATTCACTCCCTCTCTCTGTTTTTCATGAGCTCCTTATCAGGAACTTTTCTCATTACTGTTAGTGAGCTCCGTGTCTCTGACTTCAAGGTTAGCAGTTTGTGTTTGTGCTATTCACAGGGTCATGATGGACATATCTGGGTCATCAGTACCCAGAGGTGGAGCCTTGGCCACTGATCCCAGGTGAGGTCACTGTTGTCCATTGAATGTGTCTGTCAGCTGGCCAAGAGATTAGTTTGTTGTCAACTGGACCATCTCTCACGTTATTATTTTCTTTGTTCTGTGAAAAGTTTGAGAAGAATAAAATCCTGACGCTGAAAACTGCTGAAAATAAAAGACAAAATCATACAACTAGTAATTTCTCCTGACTAATGGCTTAAAGAGAGTGTATGCATTGCAGTTATGATGAGAGACACACACAGCGTGAGGCACAGAGAGCTATAATTAAGTACAGGAGCGATGAACAGCAGAATAAAGGACCTGGATTTCTCAGAACATGTCTGTGCCCTTGAAGTTGTTTTCACATCATGTGTGACAGAAGCAGAGATGTATAGACCCAGCTCCCAGCTGTGTGTCCATGAAGACTGGCCGTTCAACAGATCAACCACTAGAGTGAGGAAGAGAAGCTCCACTAGAACACTTAGTCCACTTACACAATAATGTGAACCTGGTTTTATTGAGCTGAATTCCCTTTCAGTTGTATTCACAGTGGATCAATTAAAACCTGATGATGGGGATAGAGTAGTCAGCTGTAAATATGATTGTTAATATGGATGTTTTCATCACACTGTTATTGTAATTATTAGTTTATAATGTCCAGTCCCTCATCCTCACAATGGAACCTGACCAGAGAGTCCTGTAGTCATGTGGGTTCAGAGTCAACAGGGTGACTTGCATTAGTAGACAGACATTGATAGGTGTAGGTAAATACTCGATACCTGCATTGCATAGTATACAATACTTTATTCCAGACAATGTGGGAAAGCAATAAAACAGGCACATAGAATGTTAGGTTATTTAGTTAAAAGCAGTAAATTTCTTGAAGGATGTTCTGTTATAACTGTATGAAGCACCAGTGAGGTCTCATTTAAAATTATGTACAATTTGTTTGATCACTGTGGTTACAAACAGATTACGTCTCTGCAATTAGTCCAGAGAAGAGGAACCAGATACAAATCTGGGGTCAAAGGAATATCTAACAACTGAATGTTTCTAATTTTATAAGAATGGCTAAGAGCACTCCTATTCAAGATGATAAAATCCTAAAGATTATGACGCACTCAGCCCAGTGACCTGAATCACTAACCACAGTGATACACAATATGAAAGACATGATTTGAAACTACAGGAAAGGTCATTTCAAACTTAGGACAGGAGGACCTTCTTTACACAAAAGGTTGTTGAAGAGTAAACCACACAACTCAACCATGTAGGTGTTACTGATACCCTGGTGTCTTTCAAGAACAACACAGTCTGAGAGCCATGGATCAATAAGCTACCAACCAGCAAACTGGCTATACTGCCTGAATGGGCAGTAGTGATTAGCAATGTAAATCTGGAGCACTACTTGCACCTGCTGGATTTTCACATTTTCACATTCAGGCTGTGTTGAAGTTCTGCTGCTTTTATAAGATTTATAATTTAACGTGGATTACTGATTGTCAAAAACATACAACACACAAGTTACTTTGCGTACAGTATTTAGAAACAAGTCGTTTCAGAGGCCTAACATTCTGGTCACCCAGACAACTCCAGACTGCTGGGCACTGGTGATCCTGCTACTAACCATTAAACTCTTAATGCAAAAGAGATAATGCATAAGAGACCACTTAAGAGATAAACTGAATTCTAACTAAATATAAAGCAACCTGCAGTTAAATCTCTCTCTCTCTGCAACCCGGATGCCACAAAATAAATGCCCCCTAAGCAGTGAAGATGTTTCTAACTAATGTATCTATTACCCAGGAAACCCAAGTTCCCTAAAACGCAGAATAGCATGCTCTCTCTAACGTAGTTCAAATGCTTAGCTCCAGTCAGGTCTGGTTTGGATGATCATGAAGTAGGGGCTCTTGCCTGGCACAAGCTTCAAGTCCCAATTCCTGCAGACTCCTCTCTCTTCTCTGCTTGCCTGCTTCTTGTTTCTTCTTCTCTCTGCACTCTTAATGTGATCTTATATTGGGTGTGTCTGTCCTGCTCCTTGACAATAATTAATCCACAACGTCCCTAGTATACCAAGGTAAACTTTACAATTGTTTTTCCTCAAGGGACGCCCAGACCTCAGCAAACATCCTCGATGCTTTGAAGTTAGAAGTGTTTACTCTGCCAAGTGTCACAAACTTAATCTAAAATCGAAGATACACTTCTCAGCCTCCTAAAGCTGGAACAATACACTACTGATTTATCACTGATACCTACAACATCACCAGCTACATGATCAATATGTGACTTCAATAGAGCAGTTCTGACTCTCCTGTTTAAAAGTGAGCTGCTCCAATGTGGAAAACCAGCAGAAACACCCTGGGGTTCAGGCTGTTCACAAACTGGGACTGTGTGCTGCCCCCTGTAGGCTCTTTCCATCAGGCCATGAAGAGGGAAAGTGAATGTGAGGGCAGGTGTTGAAGTGGGAGAACAGCCCCAATACCAGCACAGCCAGTCCTGAACATCATGTACTGTAGGCAGCAGGAGAGAAGCACTGGAATACTGATCGAGACATTCTGTAGAGATACACTTGGTCACAGTACTTCAGACCAGTGCCCAGATACGGAGAAAGGAGATTCATGGAAATACTGTGTCTGTGCTGTTCACAGGGTCAAGCTGGACAGGCCAGGATCACCAGTGCCCAGCTGTGTGTCCATAAAGA